TTCCAGTGCTGTAATGTACTCTTTTTTTTTTTTTTTTTGAAATTAGAGTTCCGGAAAATCGTCGGTTTTGGAAAGCGTCGTTGGGAGAGATTTCTTGCCTCGTGGATCCGGTATGAACAAAGTTTCATGTCAATGTGTTTTTTTCCTTCCTTCTTTGGTTGTGTTTATTGCTAATTGGAATGTTAAAAGAATGCGAGATGTAATGTGGGTTAAACTTGTTCTGCTTGGTAAAGAATTTGAAGCTGATTCCAGCAAAGTTCATGCGTCCCGAATTTGATATAATCTAACTAGCCTGGTTGACGTTATATGATTCATACAGCCGACCCCACTTAGTGGGATAAGACTTGGTTATTGTTGTTGCTGGCTAAGCAGCGTGGTGATCGTTATTTCTACCTAATTGCTATTCTTAATTAGAGTGACCTCCATCATTTTCCGTTGATCGAATATACCCTTTTGCATTTGTGGTTTCGTGTTGCAAAATTATGCATTACTTCTTACATTATCTTTCTTTGGTCGCAAGGTATTGTGACGAGGAGACCATTAGTGTTGCAACTTCATAAGATAGACGAGGGACGGTCTGAATATGCAGAGTTTCTTCATTGTCCTAAGAAGAAGTTCACTGATTTTGGTATGTCAGCTTTGAATGCGAGGTTCATTTTCTCTTGGGCTGATGTAAAGATGAATTCTTTGAGCTTATGATTATTCAATCCAAGTGTGCAACGGTTTTATTTCTCTTTAGTTCTTACGCCAAATACTGAGTTGTACACTGTTTGCTTTTGCAGCTTCTGTACGTAAGGAGATCTCGGATGAGACTGATCGTATAACTGGGAAGACAAAACACATCTCTAACATTCCAATTCATCTCAGCATATATTCTCCAAATGGTATGTATTTAATTTCCTGTGAACATCATAGATTTGAATGTCATATATTTAATTTCCTTCTGAATCATTATTTTATTTGCATACTAATCAATTTTCATCTTAAAGGAATATACAACTCGTTGGATTACATGTTTTTTATATTATTAGATAGTAACGCAAACCACAAGCTAGGCTTTCCTACGACGGTTCTAGTTGAATATCTGGAAAGTATACTCTATTATATAAACTGAAACTTCTCTTCCTTGTGTAGAAGATAAGAATGTGGTAGAGTCGAAAGCTGGAATTTCAATATATTGCTTATTGTTACGAAGCATTCTCGCTTTTTCATCAACTGCTTGTCCTGATTCCAGATATACTCCATATTCCTGTTGTTGATTGATATTGTATTGCATGGTACTGAGCGTATTTTTGTGGCAGTTGTAAACTTAACACTTATCGATCTTCCTGGATTGACAAAGGTGGCTGTAGGTAATCTTTATCTCCTCCTATAGCTATCTCTCTCTCCATCGCCCCAGTTTGTTAAGACCTTACTGACAAATTATCTAGGGATTTTGTAGAGGGACAACCAGACACCATTGTTGAGGATATTGAGAATATGGTCCGTTCTTATGTTGAGAAAGTGAGGATACTTCAAATTTGGTTTGCTGGATCAAGTTATAATTTTTCTTTTATTAATACTGCAGTCAATCTAATGGACTTCTCTGATTTGTAGCCTAACTGCATTATATTGGCTATATCTCCTGCTAATCAAGATATTGCCACTTCAGATGCCATCAAACTTGCAAGAGAAGTCGACCCTTCAGGTAATATGACCTAGAGAGGCAACAATACATTTCTCACCTTAATTCATTGTTCATCAAAAGGATGACCGGTCTACAAGTGAAAAGAACTTACTCTTTTTTATTATGTTTGACATTTTTAGGTGAAAGAACATTTGGAGTGCTAACGAAACTCGATCTGATGGACAAGGGAACCAATGCTCTGGATGTAATGATCCAATCATGCTCATTGCATAACTTGATCGGAAAATAGAAGTTACTTGATTATAGAAATGAAGTATTTTAACTTTCATGTGTTCATGGTTGTTACCTTTTGGTTTTTTCGTGAATATATAAGTGCAATGTAATCAAGATTCACTTACTTCCGGTGGTGGCCAAAACATCAAACTAATCGGCCAAAACATCAAACTAATCGGTACTCTATGAATGTTCAAGGTTATAGAAGGAAGGTCATATAGGCTGCAACACCCATGGGTAGGAATTGTGAATCGTTCACAAGCTGATATCAATAAGAACGTTGATATGATTGCTGCTCGTCGTAAGGAGCAAGAATACTTTGAAACTAGTCCTGAATATGGGCACTTAGCACACAAAATGGGTTCAGAGTATCTTGCCAAACTTTTGTCTAAGGTATTAACTTTTGAATATTTGTCTTCACTTGGTTGGTATGTTCACGTAATAACCTATGGAAATAATTGTTTCATTTCATCTTCTTATCAGCATTTGGAGGTTGTCATTAGGCAACGGATACCTAGCATCATTGCTTTGATAAACAAGACAATTGATGAGCTTAATGCGGAGCTGGATCGTATTGGCAGGCCAATTGGTGTAGATTCAGGGGTAACAATGCTGACCTCTGCAGTCAAGTTTTCTAGTTTATGATAGGTTTGACTTACTTGTGCTATTATATGTACAGGCCCAGCTGTACACTATTTTAGAATTATGTCGTGCATTTGACCGTGTATTTAAGGAACACCTGGATGGAGGGTAAATTTCATGACCTTTATGTGACATGTATTCGCTGTTGAAGTTAAATTTCAAGATTATCTGATTTTCCATGTTGAGAATATGTATGATTTAAATTTTAATTGATCATATTATTAGGGTTGCTCGTCTGAGAGCATGTGTCCTTGATTCATTGATTGAGATTTTGAACAAAATGCCTAGACTGTAGAGATATAGAAGTTCTATGAAGGACATGTCATCGAGTTTAAGCTGTATAATACATATCTGTCCAGTACTTCACAAGAGTAGAGGTTACCTTAAAACTTAAAAGTTGAGCACTTAACTCGTTGTTTGTTCAGAATATTATCACATACTTTAAATTGACTCCAGGCTGGGACGCTGCAAAATGTTAGAACTTCTGATTTGAGTCATTTGACTGGTTTGGCTCTTCATTTCATGGAAAACATAGAACACCCAAAAGATTTAGGCTTCATTAGACGTGTTTGGTAATTTTACCCTCTGTGGTGGCTGGCCATTTATTTACAAGTTGTGAAGTTGTGAGCATGGATAAAGAAAGCCCTTGAGAGAGATTCACTATACTTGTACTTGCTCATAGTCTGAATATCACGAAGTTATGAACTTATGATGAGTTCCGAATTTGATTAGAGACATTTCTATCGTAGTGTAATTTTGATAATTGCAAATAAGTATATCAATCATTTCCTATTATATGCATATAGTTTAATGATAAGTTGCTATTTCAGGCGGCCTGGTGGAGATCGTATATATAAGGTTTTTGACCATCAATTACCAGCTGCTTTGAAAAAGCTTCCCCTTGATCGTCATCTCTCTATAAAGAATGTCCAAAAAGTTGTTACTGAGGCTGATGGTTATCAGCCCCATTTGATTGCTCCAGAACAAGGATACCGAAGACTCATTGATGGATCTATCGTCTATTTCAAAGGACCGGCTGAAGCCTCTGTGGATGCTGTAGTGCTCTTATTCCTTTCACATTCTATATGTGATTCTGAACTCAAAGTTACAACACATGGAATACATAGTTTACCAAAGATAAACTGTGTTAATTTTATCGTAGATAATATGGATATGCATACAAAAGATAAACTGTGTTAATTTTCTGGACTGGGGTTGTCTAAATTTTCTGTCCATATATTGCGAATGGTGCATTTCTATGCTTGCTTTGTATAAGTTTTCTTTTGGTCCAAAACATTACTGTATATTTATCTGAATATTCTTTTCACTACATTAATTTCTCACAACAGGTGCACTTTGTTTTGAAAGAACTTGTACGGAAGTCGATAGCTGAAACCGAGGTAAGTAAAGTTTCATGAGATTTAGCAGTTTATGGCAACAATCAATGTGTGCGCGGATCAAAGTTATAAAAACCCAACGTTATGGAATTTGCAGGAATTGAAGCGATTCCCTACGCTTCGGTCTGATATAGCAGCAGCTTCCACGGAAGCGTTGGAAAGGTTTCGTGATGAAAGCAGGAAAACTGTTACACGACTTGTGGAAATGGAATCTAGCTATCTAACAGTGGAATTTTTTAGAAAGCTTAATTCAGAACCAGAAAGAACTCCAGGTCAAGCAGGATCGAAGGCAGATAAACACTCAAAAGAGAAAGAAACAGTACAAAATATGGACACTTTCGGAGATAATTATCTCAGGAGGATTGGTATGCAAAATTCAAAACCCCATTCACTGTATCTTATTGTAGGCGTGATCGCTGGTTCAGTGTTTCTTTAAGTTATTGTTTTATGCTGAGATGTTATATACTTGTACCAGCATCAAATGTCAGCTCTTACATCAATATGGTTTGTGAGACACTGAGGCTTTCGATTCCAAAGGCTGTTGTTCACTGTCAAGTTCGAGAGGCCAAGAGAAATCTGCTCAACCATTTTTACGCCCGAATTGGAAGGCAAGAGGTGAGCCTCGCACTTTTCAAAGCCAGTTCGTTTTGGTGATTCCGGTGTGGTAAAGTAGTTTTGAAGAACCGAGGATACTAACCATATTTTCCTTTGCTTGGGGAATGCGCAGAAGGAGAGGCTTGGTGCAATGTTGGATGAGGATCCGGCACTCATGGAAAGGCGAACAAACATTGCTAAACGCCTTCAACTCTACAAGTCAGCTAGAGATGAGATCGATTCTGTCGCATGGAAATGATGGAGCCACATTACATTGCATGAGGCTCATACTAGATCAAATTTATCCGGTTCGGTGCATTGGTTCATCGGTTTAATTTCAAGACGCCAAAGTCTCATAATAACGGGGATAAATTTTCTGTAGTTCCGACTATTGGATAATCGGTTTTTATATCCATTAGATTGAAGTAATTAAAAATTTTATTTTTTTTCAATTGAGTAGGCCAAGGTATTGAAGAAAATATGTAATAACAATAGCAAAATACTATGAGTTACAGAGAAAAGAGCGAGATTGAAGTCAAGTTTTAAGGGGCATTACAAAAAATACGCCTAAATTCAAATTGGGAGTTGTAAGTTGGGGGGTAGAGTAGTGCTCTTAAACGCTTCCCAGGTGAGGCCTTTCTGCAAGTATTCAATATTAGAAGGGTCAAAAGGTCCTTTCACCCTGTCTATAGCCTTGATCACTGCCCTTGCTGGAAGAATGCTCTTCGATGGGTCCGGTGACGTCCCATAACTCAAGCTCGAAGAGAATCCCTGAAACAATAACATATTACCCTTCAATCTCAAGTTATATAAGAGCTGTTTGGAAGTGCTTTTTAAAACAGCTAAAACCGCTTTCAAAACACATGCAAAGCCTCAATTCTTCGACGTGGGACTCATTGTAAACAAAAATTAGCAAACAAGTAGCTAGCAACAGACCTTGAAGATAAGCACTTCTACATCCTGGTCATCCACCAATGCATGCACGATAAGTGCTTCTCCTCTCACACTCTGACTGTATAATTCCAACACTGCTATCTCCTTATTGTGTCCGTACTCGACGTCCTCATCATCATCCTCGTCATCGTCGTATCTGAGCACTCTCCGCCTGGCAGCGCATCGAGTGCTCAAGCCCCTTGGTCTAAAGGCATTCACGTTGAAGGCTGAGGCACGGCATGTACTGAAATATCTGGTAGCTGCAGATTCAGAGGAGGAGGAGGTGATGGTGGTTGCATTTGGAGAAAACGGTGATTTGGGTGGGGAGGAGACCAGCACAGTCCATCTTCCCAATTGGAAATGCTTCAACATTATATGTGGATTTCCAAGTGTGAGTGCACAAGCAGAAGAGTGTCACAAAAACTTGTGGATTCACAATTTTGTTCTTGAAGATAAGGTGTGGGTCACATCGGTGGAAAAAATTTAAGTAGTGTTGCGTGACGATATTATCTGAAAGTATTTATATCTAACAAGTCTATTACGAAAATTTATGTATTTCTGTCTTACTTGACACCACGTAAAAAAATGTTCTAGTTGGACAGTCTTATTGAAATTCACCACGTAAAAAATGTTCTAGTTTGACAGTCTTATTGAAATTTCTCTCGCCATATAATTTTTCAATAATTTGTTTAGGCTTTGCATTGTTTATTTGTTAATAATATTGTACGCTAAATAATGTCATGTCAGACCGATTGTTACTAAAGATCATTTTCTCAAATTCAAAGAGAGAATAAAACAATAAAAGATGAGTTTGTTACCATGAAAATAACCGTGACCAAATTGAGTGAACGAATGATACGGAACCGAGGTGGGTTAAAATCATCGTCAACAATAGTTAATTAAAACATGGATTGGGAGTGATGATCAAATTCGTCGGTGTATATAGCAAGAGGCCCAAATCACTGTGGGCCAACTCACAGCCAAGACCACAAAAATGGCTAATGTGGATGTCGTTTCATGCGCACGACTCCGAAGCAAATATGAGGCGTGCGTGAGTCGTGACTTGTTTGAAATTATTCTGTCGTTCGCAAATGTCTATCCGTAATTGTCTACAATGATTTATATGCAACGAATTTATCGTTGTATGATGTTTTCAATGCAATAATATATATATATATAATTGTAAATTTTTCTTCACGTGATAATAGCTTTTTAAGTCTGAACTAAAAAAATATTATAAATATTTTTATTTAAAACGACTATTGCTAAATCACCAAATTGAGTGGAAATTGGGATTATGTTGCCATCTCCAATAATTGTGGACAAGTATTTTGCAATGCAAGTTTCGTCTTGAATCTATTTCTTTTTTATTTACATTTCTTGCCCCACAATCAATGCTTATGTTTTGGATTTCAATAGTTAAATCAAAATGATTAAACCAATATGGAAAAAGAAAGAAATGGCATCAATTTTTCATCATATTTGCCTATCATTTTATGTTTTAGATGATTTATTATTTAGCATTTTTAAACAAATTAATTATTGACCTTAAATGATAATTGCTTCCATGGTAATTATGAAATATTTGTATTTATTTTTATATGGCTATATTCTATTTCAGCAAATTTCAAGTGAAATCCCGGTGGTAGGTATTATTTTTGGTATGGTGTTTCGTTTTACTTCTTGCATATGCAATTAGCGGCATATGCGGTGGCTTTTTATACCGTTAGATAGTGAGGTCTTACACACTGTAAAATCATTTTTTATTTGATATTACCATTCCCAATTCATAATATAAAATCTCACACCGATGAAAAAAAAGAATTGAATGCACAATAATTGTGAAAAAAATTAAACTCTTAACAATTAAACATCGAATTTACTATCTAGATTGGTTGGTCGGACGTGTGACGGAGATATGACACAGCCAACGATCTTTTACGACCGCAAAGACGCACAAGAAGCGACGAAGGTAGCACTGTAGGCTGAACCCCACATGCCCAACACACTCTCTATATCTCTGACTCACAGGTATAAAAGGGAATGAGGATCCTTTCCTGATCCTTGTGAGGATCCTTTCCTGATTCTCTTTGTGAGAATTCTGATGATCCTCCAATCACATCCGTTCATCGTAAATTATGTAGCCAATTTTTGTCAAGTATTGTTTATATTTAATTTTAGGGTAAAAGACTGTTTACTACCCTCATGTTTTGTGGTTTTCAACATTTAGTACATCAAGTTTTTTTTCGTCTCACATTCATACCTAGAGTGTAAATTTTGGGACAGTCTCATACATCTGTTAGTCAAACTGTTAAGTTTTCTGTTAACTGTGACGTGGTGCACACGACTGGACGCCACGTGTCATCCACGTTTTTTTTTCTTTTTTCTTTTTTCTTTCTTTTCTTCTTCCTTCTTCCTTCTTTTTCTTCTTCCTCCAACTGCAATTTTTTTTTTCTTTTTCTTTCTTCTTCTTCCTCCTTCTTCATTCCCCTTCTTCCTTCTTCCTCCTTCTCCTTCTTCTTCTTCTTCTTCTTCTTCCTCCGAAATCTGGGGAAGTTTTTTTTTTTTTTTTTTTTTTTCTTCTTCTTCCTCCTTCTTCTTCTTCTTCTTCTTCTTCCTCCGACTGCAACTTTTTTTTTCTTCTTCCTCATTCTTCTTCTTCTTCCTCAAAAAAAAAAAAAAAAAATCAAAAAAAAATTGAATCTGGGCAGATTCGGAGGAAGAAGAAGAAGTTCCTTCTTCTTCCTTCTTCTTCTTCTTCTTCTTCTTCTTCCTCCGAAATCTGGGGAAGTTTTTTTTTTTTCTTCTTCTTCTTCCTCCTTCTTCCTTCTTCTTCTTCTTCTTCTTCCTCTGACTGCAACTTTTTTTTTTCTTCTTCCTCCTTCTTCTTCTTCCTCAAAAAAAAAAAAAAATCATAAAAAAAACTGAATCTGGGCAGATTCGGAGGAAGAAGAAGAAGATTCCTCCTTCTTCCTTCTTCTTCTTCTTCTTCCTCCGACTGCAACTTTTTTTTTTCTTCTTCCTCCTTCTTCTTCTTCTTCCTCAAAAAAAAAAAAAAAATCATAAAAAAAAATTAATCTGGGTCTTCCTCCTTCTTCTTCTTCTTCCTCAAAAAAAAAAAAATCATAAAAAAAACTGAATCTGGGCAGATTCGGAAGAAGAAGAAAAAAAAAAGCTTCTTCAGATTCGGAGGAAGAAGAAGGAGAATGAGAAGGAAGAAGAAGGAAGAAGGGGAAGAAAGGGAAGGAAGAAGGAGAAAGAGGAAGAAAAAAAAAGAAAAGAAAGTTGTAGTCGGAGGAAGAAGAAGAAGAAGAAGAAGAAGAAGAAGGAAGAAGAAAAGAAAAGAAAGAAAGAAAAAAAAAACGTGGATGACACGTGGCGTTCGGTCAGTGCGCCACGTCACAGTTAATAGAAAACTTAACAATTTGACTAACGGATGTATGAGACTGTCCCAAAGAAGAAGAAGAACAAGAACAAAAAAAAAAAAAAAAAAAAAAAAGCTTCCCCAGATTCGGAGTAAGAAGAAGGAGAATGAGAAGGAAGAAAAAGGAAGAAGGGGAAGAAAGGGAAAGAAGAAGGAGAAGGAGGAAGAAAAAAAAGAAAAGAAAGTTGCAGTCGGAGGAAGAAGAAGAAGAAGGAGGAAGAAGAAAAGAAAAAAAAGAAAAAAAAAAACGTGGATGACACGTGGCGTTCAGTCAGTGCGCCACGTCACAATTAACGGAAAACTTAACAATTTGACTAACGGATGTATGAGACTGTCCCAAAATTTACACTTTAGATATGAATCTGAGACGAAAAAAACTTGATGTACTAAATATTGAAAACCACGAAACATGAGGGTAGTAAACAATCTCTTACCCTTAATTTTAAATAAAAAAATTTACAATAATTTTTTATCATATAATATACGATAACGAATGTAATAGGTCCAATTCTCTCTCAATTTCTCCGATTTCGTTCTGTCTGATTGCTTTCCGAAACCCTAATCCCCAAACCGAAGGTTTCCCCTCGCGGATCTCCCTCCAATTGGCTCCACTTTCACCCTCTGCAAGTGCAACCACTAAAAATGGAAATTTTAGTCCATTGAAAATGGAACATTAGGGTTCGGTCGTCAGTGGGTGTGTGTGTTTTGCGTCGTTGTGGTGACGGTGTGTGGTGGCCATGGCTGCTTTGCAGAGAGTGGCGCAGTCAAGCGTGAGCACTACTGCGAGTAGTTACGGTTCGTGTAAAGTTGGTGGTGGTGTTTTGTCACCGTCTGCCGGCATTGAAATGGCAGTCCCCAATCAGTTTCCGGCGGGCTTGAGGGTTCTAGTGGTGGACGATGACACCACGTGCTTGAGGATTCTTGAGCTGATGTTACTCCGGTGTCTGTACCAGGGTATGCCATTGATCTTCTAGTTTCTCAGTGATTGGTTATGCTTATGTTTATGCTTTATTTGCGTTTAGTTTAGAAAAAACAAGTTATTATCTCAAATATTAAGAATTATTTCAGCATTTTTATCGTTTGTGTAAGATCTGGAAGAAATTATTATTTTTGTTTCAGGTCTTTATTGTATATGGATCAGTTGCAGGACTAATCTATAAGAAATTGAACATATATATATATATATATATGTCTATATTAACCCGGTAATTTTATTACATATATTAACCCGGTAATTTTATTACATATATTAACCCGGTAATTTTATTATGGAGATTCTAAGCAGCTGGACTAATCAGTTGTTGTAGTCTGTAAATCTCTGTCTCAAATGCAAAATGCGGAATTTGAGAATTGAGACAAAGTAAGCAGTAGGTGCGTAAATAGCCAATAAAACAACAATACCCTTTTGTTTTATTGCTGGCAGTTACCACTTGTTCCGAGGCTACTGTTGCTTTGAATCTTCTACGAGAGAGGAAAGACTGTTTTGATGTCGTACTGAGTGATGTCCATATGCCTGATATGGATGGATTTAAACTCCTGGAACACGTTGGGCTGGAAATGGACCTTCCTGTTATCAGTGAGTAAATAAATTTTAATTTCTTCAATGGTAGTCAAATTATGCCTTATGTGTATTAACATGACGGTGTATTATTCAGTGATGTCTGCTGATGGGAGAACAAGTGTTGTTATGAGAGGAATTAGACATGGAGCCTGTGATTTTTTAATTAAGCCTATAAGTGAGGCAGAACTCAAGAATATTTGGCAGCATGTTGTTAGGAAAAAATGGAATGGAAGTAAAGAACTTGAACATTCTGGGAGCTTGGAAGATAATGATCCACATAAACGGGGAAACAATGATTTTGAATACGCATCTTCTGTTAACGAAGGAACAGAAGTTTCATTGAAAGGTCATAAGAAGAGGATCAACCCTAAAGAAGATGATGATGGTGATACAGAAAACGATGATTTGTCTACATCGAAGAAACCTCGTGTAGTATGGTCAGTTGAACTCCACCAGCAATTTGTCACTGCTGTGAACCAGCTTGGCCTTGATAGTATGATCGTTAACTTTTAACTTCTTATTTTGATATACACATATTATTGTAAGGTGTACCCGGTTTACATTCCTTGACATCATAATGTGACTGCTCAATACGGCTTTATGTTACTGACTGAACTTTTTGTAATATTTCAGAGGCTGTACCAAAGAGAATTCTTGAATTGATGAATGTACCTGGTTTAACTCGAGAAAATGTTGCTAGCCATTTGCAGGTATGGTGCTTCCCCTCATATTGATCTGATAGCTTAGCTTGCCTTCATCTTGTTGTCGTTGTCACGGACATGAATGAGTCAATGACACATAAAACAGAAGCATTTAAGAATTCAACGCATAAATAATATGTGATTATCAATACTGTAACTACAATTATGCATTACGCTTGATTAGAAGTCATCAGTTTATTTTAAAAACCTAACTTGAATTATGACAACAGTAATATTTTTGACATGCACATGGGTCTAATACTAAGTTGTGAACTCAGATTTAGAGTATTTTATATTAGCTTTTCTATTTCAGATATCCATTGCAGTATGAGCACATCTTTTTTTTTCAAAAGAAATTTAGAATTGTGTTTTCTTGCATTTACATTCTTGCGATCTTTTTATATGCATATGATATACTTGAGTTCTTCATTTGTTTTCCAAACAGAATGATTTACTTATAAGAACTAAGTGGTTGTGCAGAAATTCAGGTTATATTTGAAGAGATTAAGTGGAGTAGCTCAACAACAAAGTGGGATTGCAAATCCTTTATGTGGGCCCGTGGACTCAAATGGGAAGTTGGGTTCGCTTAGTAGATTTGACTTCCAAGCTTTGGCTGCCTCTGGACAAATTCCTCCGCAAACACTAGCAGCCCTGCAAGCTGAGCTTTTAGGTCAACCTGCAGGGAACCTTGTGCCAGCAATGGATCAGCCTGCACTTCTACATGCATCCCTACAAGCACCCAAGCGTCCCCCTGTTGAACATGGTGTGCCATTCATGCAGCCTTTCGTAAAAAGCCAATCAAACGTTTCCAAACATTTTCCACAATCCGTTATTTCTGCTGAGGATGCATCTCTGGGATTTGGACAATGGAGGTCTAATAGTCGTAGTACAGTGGCACCCAGCAATGATCATGGAGGGTTGAGTACTCAGAACAGTAACTTGTTGATGGGAATTGTGCCGCAGGAGCAAAGACAACATAAAAGAACGCAGCAGCAGTCTGTGCTAACCGAACCTAGCCGTTCATTTAATGTGCAGCCATCTTGCCTTGTGGTCCCCTCTCAATCATCAACTGGTTTCCAGGCTGGAAATAGTCCTGCTTCTGTTAATCAGAGTAGTAGCTTTAACAGGTCTACTGTTGTTGATTACAGTCTGCCTTCAGATCAATCTAATAATTCCTTGAATGTTGGACATATACCGACTGGAAATCCTAAAACTAGTGGCATTCTTGGTGGGTATTCTGGCCCTGGTTCTATTTGTGCCACGTCTTGCTTAGTTAATGCTGACAATAGCACCAGTTACCAGAACTCAACTGCGACATTTAGTGATTCCAGAGAGTTGCCGGGGTTTTTGCATAATACGGCAAACAGCCATGGTTTTTATGTTGATAAGTCAGGGGAAATGCTTGATCAGGGACCTCTTAGGAATCTCGGATTTGTTGGTAAAGAGACTTGCATTCCAAGTCGATTTGCAGTGGATGATTTTGAATCGCAAATGAGCAACTTGAACCCTGGAAGGATCCATGTGGAGAGCAGTGGTACCCTAGTCAAGCAGGAGCCAAGTGAGGATTATGTGGATAACGCAAAACTAGGTATCCCAATATTACACCAATATTCTTCAAGTGATTTCATGAGTCCTTTCGCTGATTAGGTAACTATTGTCTTGGTATTATTCTAATTTTATTATGCTCTATATCACCAACATGTGCATAAGGGTGCGTGCGTCTGTGTCTTAGCTATTAGTGGTTCTTTGCTCGTCGATACTAGTATCTGAGAACCACAAGCTTGTAGATATCGATATGTAATTCTCATTTTTATTTGCAGCAGGCTTTCATTTTCAAGTCTCTTGATTTCCATGACGCGTACAGATTATTTCACATTATCAAAATGTTCAGTAGAGATTGCAGTTGAAGTATGTGTATTATATTCCTATGATTAGATCTAATAGATGTGCCTGCACCGGACTCAGATGCAGAGCGGCCTCTTGCATCCGAGACTTGAAAAATTGAGGACAAATGTGTTTTGGGGGCCCGCCCCGGGAGGGGGGGGGGGGGTTGGTTCTCTTTCATTTAGTGTAGCGTTAATATTGGTCCGGAGTAAAATAAATTGTGTTAAAGACTCCAGCAGCTTGAATGGTTATTTTCTGATATGATGATTGGCATCTTGCCAGACGTAGTTGTGTAGTTAATTGGATCAAGTTATGTTGGAATATGGCTCGCAAGTCATGAATTTGTAGTATATATTTACTTATCTATAAATTGCCCAATGTTGTAAATGTAGTTTGGTTCAAACATTTTTAGCTTAGTTTGCATTCTTCACCGGCGCTTGCCGGATGTATAACTCATCCTGCGTCACAGTCACAGGTAACGATTTAGAGCTCGTTTGGATGTGCTTTTAAAATGATTGAAAATGTTTTTTGTGAAAATATTTTTGGAAACAATTCTTAGTAAAATTGCTAGTAAATCTTGAAAATCATTTAAAGTGCTTCCTAAAAGAAGCACATAACTGGAGCTTTTCGTAGAAAGCACTTTAAGTGCTTTTGGAACTCAAAAACATTTTTTCTAAAAACTCTTTCAGTTATTGTAAAAACATATCCAAACGAGTCCTTGGTATTTATTGATCATGCAGAAGAATTTTTTATTTATTTTACATGTCAAATCATGCGACGCTGTCACGAAATCTCTCGCGATCAATACACGGTCGAATCCTTGTAAATGAACAATGTGGAGACTCTGGATCATTATAATTATCATGTTCCTCCATATCGTCTCATCTAAAAGAAATAAAAGAATCTGCATTAATCGATGAGATAAAAAAGCATTATGCGAGTACAAAAATGAGCATCTCTCTTTTAATGAGGAATTTTAACGGAAAAATACTGTTTATTTTAATGAAAAATTACGTTTTTACATTAAAAAGTTAATTATGATACTATTTATTTTACCTTTTATTTTGTCCTTATTGTTAAAATTTAAAATTTTCAAGTTCTTTTAATTAGTTTTCCTCTTTTAATAAGAAAGGACTTGCAACAATGGGTTCAACAAAAGTATCCGCCCTCTATCAACCAATCCACAATAACACCGTAAAGACGCAGAGACTAGCAGAATATGCCGAGTTACAAAAAGTATGTTCGAATGGTTTACAAAAAATGATGTGATATCTACATATCTTTTTTTACTTCTTTCACATATTTTTGGTTTTCGGCCGTCGGATCAGATGAATTAAAAAAAAATCAAATGACAGAAATTAATAAGAGGTGTATGAGAAGTAAAAAGGAATGTGTATATAGTACATTCCTACAAAAATAGCAAATTGTACAGTTACTCGTCGATGACTGCGACAGTCAAACCTTTTGGCTGTTGAATTACCAAAAAAGAAGCAAGAAAAAAAAAACAGAATATTTTGGCTGCATATCAAATTCGAGTGGTTCCTGGGCCAAGTTGTTTCTTCCACACTTTTTGCTGTCTGTTTTGAACCAAATTCATGGCTCAATAGCGACGAACCAGTATTTCGCCCCCCTTCTCCTTTCCTTACTTCTCCCTCCGTTGTCTAGTCCCCTTTTGTCCGAAGGAGAGCAGAGTGTGCGTTTCGTCAACGCAACTCTCTCTCTCTCTTCCAATCCCGGAAACAAAGCAAGTCTCAGAAACCAAAAATGGAGAAAACCCAAGAAATTGCTCTGACCGAGATGAAGAAATCAGTGCAAAAGCTTGGATCTTCCACTGAGGTAAGAGTTGCTTTCGCAGACAGTGTAGAGTATAAGTCATTCCCTTTCGTACTTCTTATTAATCCATGGTTTTTTTTTTTGTTGGCAGAAGTTTGGAGACCCAACACTCATGAGGTTCTTGATTGCGAGATCAATGGACCCGGACAAAGCAGCGAAGATGTTTGTTCAGTGGCACAAATGGAGGGCTTCTTTTGTTCCAAATGGGTTCGTTTTGGACGCCGAAGTGAAGGATGAATTGGACGACAGAAAGATCTTCTTGCAGGGTTTGTCCAAGGACGGGTACCCTGTCATGGTGGTGAAAGCAAGCAAGCATTTTCCTTCCAAGGACCAGCTCCAATTCAAGAGTAATTATCTATGTCTAATTTTCAATTATTTCATCAATTTTTGGTATTATATCGCTGTTTAGAGCATCTCCAATGGATAGTCCAATGGATAGGCTAAAAGTTAAATATTTTAATCCGAAAAATTTAGCTTTTAGCTCAGAAATAATTTTTCTACTCCAGTCTAAAATTTTAGTCGAAATTATTAAAAAATGAACTTAAACTATTTTTTTTGTTAAATTGAATTTAAAAAAAAATGTAGACTATCGTAAATTATTTTTATAAACATTTTAATCTAAAAAAATTTAAATTCCGATAAATATTGAAAAATCACTAAAAACAAAGCAAGCCTTCAACTTTCACCAATCTCAACAATCTCAACAATCTCAACAATCTCAACAATCTCATGACCATTTTGGCTAAAAAGCCAAGAAAGAAAGATTTGTTGAGTGGACTTGATCCACTAGCACTTTTTAATTTTTGCTCTTAAACATATATCCACTAGGACTTCATCAACTGGATAGTGGGGACTAATAGGTTTAATCCCACAATGCAGACTGCATAGGCAAATCAGTATTTTAACTCTATTTTTCATGACAAGTAATGTAATTGGTGAATTATAGATTCACTTTAGTTCATCTCTTGTTGCAGAATTTGTGGTTCATCTGCTTGACAAAACAATTGCAAGGTACCTCTCAACTTTTGCTAATATTGAAATATCCATTCAACAATTGCCTGGTCGAAAATTCTAGAGTACATTCAATGTAATATTCTGAATGTAACTGCTGAATGTGCATTCAAGAATCCAAGAGAATTTAGCGGGTGGATTCGAGCTGCTTAAAATGCAATGAATTGAAATGTCAATTCAAATACTCAAAAAGGGTAACCTTTTGATGAGTGCTTGAAATGTCTATTCAGAGCAGGCATACATGTCGTACGCAGGATTATGATTCTTTAGAGCCAGCACATGATAGGGCTTGCCTTAGCTATTATGGTTTATGAAAACACTGGTCACATAAATAGAATAGTGCCCATGCTTCTTTCAGTCTGAGGAATGTCATTAATATACATGTTCTCCCAGTGTCAATGCTGTGAAACTGTTAATAGTAGAATTAGGTGTTAGATGAGATGCATATTTTCTGTTGATGCTGTAACCCTCAAATCCAACGATCGATGGAAGACTGTTTAACTTTAATTAATGGACGAGTTACCACACTTCTTTTCATTTCTCTTAAGGCTGGTTTGGTATTGTTGTGCTTTGAAAAAAAAAAACTGATTTTGCTGTGCTGCGAGAACAAGCTTATTTTTGCTGCTTCACGTTTTCAGCTTTTTTTCACCCAAAACTGTGAAAATAAGCTGTTTTTAAGTGTTTACCAAACATTTTTTTAAGCTCAGCTTTTTTTTTATACCTACTTTTTATAAAAGCACCTCAGTACCAAACCAATACTTAAAATTGAATACATTCAACTTTTTTTACATAGAGCTATCAGGATATCTCAATATTTTTCCTTTTGTTTTGCTTGTCTAGCTCTTTCAGGGGAAAGGAAATTGGAAATGAAAAGATGATCGGCATTCTTGATTTGCAACAAATGTCATACAAAAATATTGATGCACGTGGGTTAATCACTGGATTTCAATTTCTACAGGTGATTCTAATATTTCAATTTCAGTCTTTTAAAAGCACTTCCCAAATGAGCCCTAAGATGGCATGGCTGCAAGCTTAGTGTAGTGTACAGTCCTAATAAGTGAACTATACAAGTTCAAGCAATTGTATTCAATCACTTCAAATTTCTTTTGAAGCTGATGTAGCTGTCGTCTTTCCCTTTTCATCTTCCTACCAGCTATTGACCATGCATAACTAAATGACGACTTCAAACTTCTGGTGTAAATGTGATGGAATCCCTCCATGAAGATTGTGGTGCTATTTTATTAGCAAAACATGTGCTAGAAGAAGCCCCTGGTCATGCGAGATCATTTCCTCGCTATACATGAATTGTTGCTTAATCGCTTTGTGTTCTTTTAAATGTGCAGTCTTACTACCCCGAGCGATTAGCAAAGTGCTTCATCTTAAACATGCCACGGTTTTTTGTAAGTGTCTGGAGGATGGTTTCTCGCTTCCTCGAGAAGGCAACACAAGAAAAGGTATGTTTTATTTCCATTTTTTTATCATATGAATGAGTATTCTATAAAAATATGAAAATTTGGTACCTCTATGGAATCAAGGTGGTGCAACAATCTGTATGAAGTTGGTATATTATGAATTGTTTCGTTGTTTCTGAATGTAGAAGAATGGTAATTTAAAAGCATTTGCCGTTATCTTAGTTTGTGATCGTGACTGCAGGTTGTGATTGTGACCAGTGAGGAAGAAACAAAAAACTTCATCAGGGAAATCGGTGAAGAAACCTTGCCAGAAGAGTATGGAGGACGAGCAAAGCTTGTACCTCTGCAAGATGTTATACTGGCACCAGTGGAGGATTGATTCGACAATTGGGGGCTGCTCTCGCAGTCCGATATTCTAGGCAGACTTTTGTACTGTTAACCCGCTATATGTGCTCTCAAACATGACCGTTAGTAGGCAGCTTCGGCCTGGTTCTCTTTGTCATGAGTAGTAATATGTTGGCATGTATGAGGGCTTCCTTCTCATACTCTTATGTAATGTAAACAAAGAAGAAAGGTTCTCCATCTAAATGATGATAAATTCGGTTCAAAACCCATAAGTTTTTTAGGCCTGTTTTGATTTCGTAAAGGCTTTTGTGAATGAGGACAGGATCCTCTCTCCGGATTCTTTTGGTGAGGATTTTTGGAGATTCGTGAATCGTGTTCGTTCATCATACATCGTGTGCGGTCAGTTTTTGTCAAGTATTGTTTGTGTTTAATTTTGAATAAAAATATTTAAAATAATTTCTGATCGCATGATGTACGATGAATGAATATGATTGATGAATTCTCGGAATCCTCACAAAGAGGATCCGGGTTCGACTTTATGTGCCTTGTCAAACTTTTGTTTGATTTCTTTTATTTATCTTGTTGCTTTAAACATTGCTTTTCACCCACTCGCATGGTTTGGTTTGGTGGTATTTGGGATTGGTTGGTATTTTGAGTGATTAGACACGAAAGTAGTTTATCTCTTCTAATGCTTCATTCACGAATAATTTATCTTCAACTTTTTAAGTTGGATAATATTAATTTATTCAGTCGACAGATCTTGAAATAGTGAGTTGACAAATTCAATCCAATCCTAAACATATAGCGAATCCCTTAACAATCAATTTTGATCGCCTCAACAAATGATCAATAGGCAACGAAGTGGTGACTGGTGAGGTAAATATATATGGAAGTCAAGACATTTTGTTCATGCTACGCCCATAAGAACATTACATAATACATACACAAGTGCCTTGTAATTCAAGTGATTGACATTGTTTATATTGATAGTGTTTATGTAACATCCTACATCGTTCAGGGAAGTGTATCATGTAAACCTTATATGTATATTTCCATCTCTACCTAGCACGAGGCATTTTGGGAGTTCACTGGCTTTGGGTTACATCGGAACTTCGAAGTTAAGCGAGTTCGCACGAGAGCAATCCCAGGATGGATGACCCACTGGGAAGTTCTCGTGCGAGTTCCTAGAAACAAAACCGTGAGGACGTGGTCGGAGCCCAAAACGGACAATATTGTGTTATGGCGTAGTTGAGCCCGGGATGTGGTGGGGGCCCGGGCCGGAATGTGATAATTTGGTATCAGAGCCAATCCCTGGCCGGAAGTGTGTCGACAAGGATGTAGGGCCCCTAGGGGTGGATGTGCCGACGAGGACGTCGAGCCCTTAAGGGGGGTGGATTGTAACATCCCTCGTCGAGCCCTTAAAGGGGGTGGATTGTAACATCCCACATCTCCCAAGGGAGTGGATCTTGTAAGCCTTATATGTATATTATCATTTCTAACTAGCACGAGGCCTATATGTATATTCCCACGAGGCCATTTGGGAGCAGTCTCATGATGATAGTCAATCCCTGGCCGGAAGTGTGTCGACGAGGATGTAGGGCCCCTAGGGGTGGATGTGCCGACGAGGACGTCAAGCCCTTAAGGTGGGGTGAATTGTAACATCCCACATCTCCCAAGGGAGTGGATCTTTTTTTTTTTTTTTTTTTTTGGAGAACCTCGGCGGTACGAGGGAAATTTAATGATAAGAAAAAAGAAGATACACCTAGACAGGGGGGACATAAACCTAACCCCTCATAGAACAAGAGAAAAGAAATACAAAAAAGGGGGGGACATGCACCTTACCCCTTTTGAGAAAGGAAATACAAAAGAGGGGGGGGACATGGACCGTACCCCTCTTGGAAAAGAAAATACAAGGAAAAGACTGGGCGGACATAAGCCCAAACCCCTCTATAAACCTAAAAGGTAATAACCTGCAAGACAAGCTGCAAAACAAAAGAGAATCCAAAAAGGTTAGGAAAAGAAAGGAGAACACACATCAAGAAGAGGAGACAAACCTGTAGGTTGGCATGCCCAAGAAATCTGAGTGCAGAGGAGGAAGGATCTCTATAGGGGGAGTGGAATGCCAAACAAGTGAAGATGATAGAAGCCCTAAATTGGCTAATTTGTCAGCAACAACATTCCCTTCTCGAAAAATATGAGAGCAACGAAAAACCATGTTCTGCAAATGGAGAGTACAATTGTTCCAGCGTGTCTGGAGAGACCAAGGGTGAGAGAAAGATCCAGAAGCAAAACATGATATTACACTAGAAGAGTCGCTTTCAAGCCATAAATTTTGCCAGCCCCGCGCGTAGGCCAATTCGACAGCAAGGATGACAGCATGGAGCTCCGCATAGAAAGAAGTACGATGGCCCAAGCTTAGGGAGAAACCACCAAGAAAATAACCTGCAGAGTCACGAAAAACCTCGCCACATGCCGCAGGACCCGGATTACCTTTAGCAAGGCCATCAGTATTCACTTTAACCCAAGAAAAAGGAGGGGTGCCAACGAACAGGGACAATAGAAGGAGCTTTACAGGAGTTAGGCGATATTCCAAGAGAAACTAAAAGTTGCCTATCCAAAATGCCTCGTACATGGCCAGGGGTGAGAGCTCCAACCTGCCTAATCCAGGCCGAGGTGGAGCGGCAGAGACGTGAGAAGGAGGGAGGTTTGCCTTCAAACTTCACTTTATTACGCATTTTCCAAATAGCCATTAGTAAGAAAAACCCTGAAGCTATCCAGACATTGCGAAGATGTGGAGAAAACCGCTTTGACAGAAAAACAAGCCATAGATCAGAGAGGGAGCCCGTAGGTGGAATAATAGTGCCAAATTGGGTAGCTAGCCAACGCCAAGCACATTGTGCAAATTCACAACTAGAAAATAAGTGGTCGATAGATTCAGAATTCTTGTGATCTTGTAAGCCTTATATGTATATTATCATCTCTAACTAGCACGAGGCCTATATGTATATTCCCACGAGGTCATTTGGGAGTTCACTGGTTTCGGATAAATGAGTTCGCGTGAGAGCAGTCTCATGATGGGTGACCCACTGGGAAGTTCTCATGTGAGTTCTTAGAAACAAATTCGTGAGGGCATGGTAAGGCCTAAAACGGATGTGATGGGGCCCGGACTGGGATGCAACAATTTAATCCTGCCCTCTCGACATTACTTGTATATTCATTATCATACACCTTCATCTTCAACTCTCTCTCATATGACTATATATAAGAAGATAAATAAAGTAAGACAATTGAAAACACACACTTTTTTTAATCTTATACACGCCCATTCTCCCACTGTTTTTGAACGTGTAGAAAGTTAAAAATGAAGTCGTGTGCGCATCCCATTTCCCACGTGCTATTTCAAGTTCAACAGTCACAAAGACCAGAGTACAGTATATATATAACCAGCCTTCGAGCAAAACTCAAAACCCCACTCCGCCGCCGCCGCCCCTCTTTCTCCTCCGGCTCCAACCAAATCTCCAAAATGTCCACTTTCACCCACCAACACAATGGCCTCCTCCTCAAGACGCCCCTCCCCGGCCGGTCTCGGGACCCCGTGTCCAGGTTCCGACCCGGTCCATTCACAGTCCGAATGTCTCTCCAGGAGACCGGTCCATCACTCGCCGTGGTCGGCGTCACCGGCGCAGTCGGTCAGGAGTTCCTCTCCGTCCTCCAAGACCGCGACTTTCCTTTCCGTTCAATAAAGATGCTCGCCTCCAAGCGCTCCGCGGGTCAGAACTTGAACTTCCTCGGCCAAGACTACGTCGTTGAGGAGCTCACCCACGACAGCTTTGACGGCGTCGATATCGCCCTCTTCAGCGCCGGCGGGTCAATCAGCAAGGAGTTCGGTCCCGTAGCCGTAGAGCGCGGCACCATTGTCGTTGATAACAGCTCTGCTTTCCGGATGCAAAATGGCGTGCCGCTTGTGGTCCCTGAAGTCAATCCGGAGGCTATGGAGGGAATCAAGGTTGGGAAGGGAAAGGGGGCGCTCATTGCTAACCCTAATTGCTCCACCATTATTTGTTTAATGGCTGTCACTCCTCTCCATCGCCATTCCAAGGTTGCAATTTGCTTCCTTTATCTTTTGTGATTCTTGGAAGTTTTTGAAACTTTTTGAAATGGGTTTTTGGTTGTGATGCTATAAAGTCATTGCTTTGAGATTTTGTGCATTTTTTCAGGTTTGTTGAAACCGGATTTTCTTGAGTTTGTAGTTTGGAGTTTCAAAGTTGTTTGCTTTGGAGTTATATTTGGATTTTATATGTGAATTCTTAATTGGGGTTTTGTGAAAGTAATTGAGTTACATTGGATTATAATTTATGAATCGTTTTCAGGTAAAACGAATGGTGGTTAGCACATATCAGGCTGCTAGTGGAGCTGGTGCTGCTGCCATGAGAGAGCTTGAGCTGCAAACTAAGGAGGTTTCTTTTTTACTATATCACTCTCATTGTTTTTTGTTGTATATTTTTTTTCGGTTTCCAGTTGAAGTAATGTAATTTAATTTCTTTATAAAGGTCCTGGAAGGGAAGCCACCAACCACTAAGATATTTTCGCGACAGGTCTGTCTATTTATTGTGAATTATTCAAGTTTGTTGTGGAAATTAAATTTGTTTTCCATGAATCATCATTAAACCGTACATTTGCGATTGCCTGTTGCAGTATGCGTTTAATTTGTTTTCGCACAACTCGGCAGTTCTTTCGAATGGATATAATGAAGAGGAAATGAAACTAGTCAAGGAGACACGAAAAATATGGGTTAGTTTCTTACTATTTTCACCAGTCAGAGTAATTTAATGGAAAGCAGCTTGTAAGTTTGCAGAGGTTAATAACATCGGTGTATGTATCATTTACTCGTCCATTTCCTCAGAGTGACAATGATGTCAAGGTAACTGCCACATGTATACGAGTTCCTGTCATGCGGGCGCATGCTGAGAGTATAAATCTTCAGTTTGAGAACCAACTTGACGAGGTAATACCACAATGCTTGCTTTAAGTCAGTGGTGAACTCTATGTTTTTCAATACTTGCTTTGGTAGATGCATCGATGATTTTTGCCTTGCAAATCTTCAGTTAAGCATTGCATGACGATTCGTTTGTCTCTCTTGCGATTTTAGGCTAAGTATCCTATTTATAGTTAAATAATGAGACATTCTTGAAGGTGTTAAGATGCCTATCTGAAATTTTATCCCTGTTTGTTAGAGGGACTCAGTTCCTGCTGAATTTTATGACGGTCTTATGAATTTTTATTTATTTACCTATTTTTTTCACGTTCTCTTTAGAGTTCTAAATCTGTTCACTGTCCAGGACACAGCAAGGGAAATTCTGAAGAAAGCGCCTGGGCTGGTTGTTATTGATGACCGGACAGCGAATAACTTCCCTACACCGTTGGAGGTGTCAAACAAGGACGATGTTGCAGTAGGCAGAATCCGTCGTGATGTGTCCCAAGAGGGGAACTATGGGTAAGGGTAACGGTGCAAAATTTTATCTTTCAAACTATATATTTCAACAAACCACTAAAGGCATTTCTCTAATCAGGTTGGATATCTTTGTCTGCGGTGATCAAATACGCAAGGGAGCTGCACTTAATGCTGTTCAGATTGCCGAGATGTTGATATAGTTAACTTCAATTTCAAGGGCGACGTTTTTCTATATAAATCTATATGAGAGGTGAGATGAAGTGATTTGAGTTGACTGTTTTAGTCTTCAGATGTAGGCACAAGTTGAAATCGAGCAAATTAAGGCAGTTTCATTGTTTATTTTTGTAGAATAAGATATCAGCAGCCGACCTCACTTAGTGGGATCCGGCTTTGTTATCGTAGAATAAGATATTAGGCTTATCAGTAATTCATTTAAGTGCAATTGTTAGCATAATATCCTTCCTTCTAGAGGGGGAATTTTTGTTATAATGATCTTGTATTTTAAGAGAATATTTCACTCTCTTGCCTCTTTTTTTTTCTTTTCGGATTAAGCTATTTTCTAAACCTCTATAATTTAGAGGAAGAGAGATTTGAACACGGGTACAAAGGTCAAGCACACTACTCAAGCCAACAGGCCCAACCGACAACCGTGTTCTTTTGCTTTCTTGAGGCACAAGAATTGGTGATGCTCCAAAGTAGGTTAACGACTCCTTTCGGAGCAAGTTCCAACTTTCCAAAAAGTACCCTAAAAAACATTCTAATGCTTTTAGACATCCTTACTCAGTCAAGTATATGCTCTCAACCTTGCTCACCAAGGGCCAAAGTAACCCTTCATGGGAGGTATTTGCCCATTCACACTTGAGATTCTTTAAAGTTATTGGCCAAAACTTCTCCTTGGGGCTGACCATAGGATTGGTCCAAAACTTCCAGAAGGTTCTTGGCCGTATTGTTCAATTCATCATTAGGAGCTCAATTAAGAGTTAATCTCCCTATAACACCAATTTGATTTATGAACTTTTAGGCACAAAACTATAAAATTCAAACTTATAAAAATTCGGATTATGTTACATGCAATGGTAATACAGTTGAAATTTATTGTATATGGTCTAATATCCTAGTGGATACGGTGTTGAGTTTCCATCTATACGCTCCAGGTTCGAAACTAATACAATTGAAATTTGCTTATGCTGAGTTGTGAATAAAAGAAATAGAATGATAGAAATCAATTATGTCTAAGCTTTTTGGTGTGGCTGCAATCCCCATCGATTTCTTTCATTCTAACAACTAACTATCTCACTCACTCATTAATATCGCAATACTATACAAATGACAAGAATAAAACAATCCATCATGATCTTGCTACGTGTCACCATGTGTAATCTTCAGAATATGAGGATTTGCTGTCGCTGCGAAGCAGGAGATCATGACACTCGTTATTCTATCCATTTGGCGCCTAACAGGAAGACAGAGGAAAGCGTACCTAGGATAACTGGGGTGACAAGGTTTCTTCTTTTATTCTGCTCCAACTGCAACTACAAGTTTGTTACAGTGCATATGATGGACCTATATATATACACAGGTGAGCTTCATTGGCGTTGCTCCTCACAATACAGCTGTGTTAATTTTGTTGGTAATAATCTCAAGTGCTCATACATATTTCAAATTCAAGGTACCACTCTTTTTCTCGTCGATAATTCTATTTAGACATACAAAAACCGAAACTTTTTAATAGGTTGTGTTAGCAACTGAGTCATTTTGTGCGTCTAAATATCATTACTCTGTTCTCATTTGCAGCATTAGCAATTATTTTATTGTATTTCCAAGTATTTTATGCATAGGGATATTGCAAAGAGTTCATAGTTTTTAATTTCAATTTGTACTTGTGAAACAGCAGTTGCCATCAACAGTATCAACATGGTTAAGACTACAATTCAGTTGTATGGATTTTCCTCTGTCGAATCACCGGAAGCAGTGAAGGCGTTTCTGGAGGAATACACTGGAGAAGGAACTGTCTCTGACGTGAAGGTTCGTCCCCCAAATGATGGAAAATCAAGATCATACGCCATAGTTGAGTTCACACATGCAGAATCTGCTGAAATAATAATCCCATTAGCTGATGATCGTCTCTTGTGGTACGGGGACTCTTACCTGAAAGCTAGGAAATGGAAGGTTGATAACTTTGAACACAGCATGGGACTTGTAAAGCTGCATTTCGGATGCCTGGTTTCCGAGGAGCAGTTTTCTGTTCTTTGGACAGCACCGGATGTTCAAGTCAACTTTGGGACAGAATTTAAGAATATCTACTTCTCGTTCTCTTATAATTCTGCTGTATACAAGCTCGAGGTCTCCACGGAAAGTATTAGCCAGATGGAGCTCCATATCGTGCGTGATCAGCTTAGGAATTATCTTCTAATCCAGGTTTGTCGGTCACATTTTCTCAATTTTCCCTCTCTTTGGTACAATGATATAGCTGAAATTTGTGAACCATTACTTTACAATTTGCTATGAAATGTACGACTGTAACTTCTAATTTTAGTTAGTGATCAAAGTTTATAAGTTGATGAATACAAAAGTTTAGTTCACCCTGCATAAAAGATTCATAGTAACTTCTGATCCCACGTCGAATATCATGAAACAATCTGTCATCTTTATTATAAATAGCATGATTTAATGTGTAATGTGTGACTCTCAGAGGAAATGACTAACATTTTTTCTCTACCTTTCTTCTTTCTCTTGCTAGTTACTTGGTACCCCTCGGATTTTTAAGCAAAAATCTGACAATGACTGGGTTCGAGAAGTTGACTTCACTCCGTCGTGCTGCATTGGCCAATCTTCTGCTGTATGTTTGGAACTTCCATATGGTTCCGTGCTTCCAAATCTACGTGATAATTTTCTTCACTACCAAGAAACTGAAGGACGCTTCGCTTTGGAGATAGGCAACCCTTTTTCCTGCAATTCAGATCTTGTTCCTATTGTCAGTCCACCTGAAGGCATTAACTTGCCGTATAAAATCCTGTTCAAGATCAATTCCTTGGTTCAGCACGGACGTGTTCCAGGGCAAGCACTTGATGTCACGTTTTATAAGCTAGTTGATCCTAGCACAATAAGAACTGACTACATAGAGTGTGCCCTGGACAAATTATTTCGCTTGAAAGTGTGCTGCTATGATCCTGTGAGTTGGCTTCGTGAGCAGTACAGAGATTACAAGTCGTGCACGCGGATTCCTGAAACCCCTGCTATCTCTTTAGATGATGGAATGGTGTATGTGCACAGGGTTCAAGTCACACCATCTAAAGTTTATTTTTGTGGTCCGGAGGTAAATCTTTCCAACCGTGTTCTACGAAAATATCCTCAAGATATTGATAATTTCCTTCGTGTTTCTTTCGTGGATGAGGACTTGGGTAAGATACGTTCGGAAGATTTATGTTCGCATCTGCGCACAAGTAACACTTCTGCAGAAGAGGAAAGGAGGACGAGAGTTTATGAAAGGATATTTTCTACTCTAAGAAATGGCATTGTCATTGGTGACAAGAAGTTTGAGTTTCTTGCCTATTCATCAAGTCAGTTACGCGAGCGTTCAGTGTGGATGTTTGCGTCAAGAAGCGAGCTCTGCGCACAAGACATTAGAAATTGGATGGGGGACTTTAGAGGCATCAGAAATGTGGCGAAGTATGGTGCTAGGTTGGGCCAGGCTTTCAGCTCTTCCAGGGAGACTTTTAATGTCGATAGGGATGAAATCGAACTCATTCCTGATGTTAAAATCGAAAGGAGTGGAGTCAAATATTGTTTCTCAGATGGAATTGGGAAGATATCTGCTGAGTTTGCTGAAAGGGTGGCAAGAAAGTGCGGGAGAAGTTCTACTCCATCAGCGTTTCAAATTCGTATAGGTGGCTATAAAGGTATCGTGGCAGTAGATCCGACATTGGAAAAAAACTTGGCACTGAGGGAGAGCATGTGCAAGTACCAATCCAACAACACAGCACTTGATGTTCTCAAATGGAGCAAGTACCAGCCTTGTTTCCTCAATCGTCAACTGATTACCCTTCTGTCCACCCTTGGAGTCCCGGATCATGTCTTTCAGAGGAAGCAAAGACAGGCTTTGAATCAACTAGAAGGCGTTTTAACTGACCCATCAAGAGCAAAAGAAGCACTCAAAACGATATTTCAAGGGGAGGTCACAGACGTTTTGAAGGAAATGCTTTCGTGTGGTTACAAGCCGGATGCAGAACCATTTCTGTCATTGACGCTACAAGCATTCTGCGCATCCAAGCTCATGGAACTGCGGACAAAAACAAGGATATTGTTTCGAGTGGAAGATCAATGATGGGATGTCTGGATGAAACTGGAACGTTGGAATATGGTCAGGTATTTGTGCAATGCTCTCGCCGTGTGATTTCCACTGGCAGCAACACTACTTCGAGCGAAGAGAAGTTTGTTGTGGACAGGAATGTTGCAGTTGCTAGAAACCCATGTTTACACCCGGGAGATGTTCGTGTTCTCACAGCTGTGGACGTGCCGGCATTGCACCACATGGTGGATTGTGTAGTTTTCCCGCAAAAAGGAAAGAGGTATGTCAACTTTCTCAAATCTTGTAGCTGATGAAATTACAAATTCGTTTTGGATTGCATCTGCATATTAGTGTTTCTTTGTTTTACAATAATTTGTTGCCTTGAATTGTGTACGTACTCACTATTATTTTTTTCTCGCCGAATTAGACCGCATCCTGATGAATGCTCAGGAGGAGACTTAGATGGAGATTTTTACTTTGTTAGTTGGGACTCAGATCTAATTCCACCTCGGAAAGTTCGACCGATGAATTATACCCCAGCACCAACTATTGAATTGGATCATGACGTTACAGTGGAGGTATTACTGAATTTATTAAGTACAATGTATAGCTGCTTATCGTTACTTCAAAACATATTCTACAATCGTGTTTCTTCCTTATTCATTCAACATTTGGTGTTCTATGCTGTTTGTTACAGGAAGTTGCAGAGTCGTTTACAAACTACATAGTGAACGACATGTTGGGGATCATTTCAAATGCACATGCTGTCTTTGCAGACACAGAACCACAGAAGGCCGAGAGTGCACAATGTAAAGAGCTTGCCAAGCTCCATTCCTGTGCTGTCGACTCTCCAAAAACTGGCGTGGTAGTGGAAGTGCCTCGTAGTCTACGTGCCAAAGAATATCCGGATTTCATGGAAAAGGTTGAGAAACCTACGTATGAGTCCAGACGTGTGATTGGTAAGCTTTTCCGACAGGTGAAAAATGTTGAGCTTGGATCACGTTCACATTCAAGCTCAATTAAATCCTTCACCGTGGAAGTGGCTACGAAGTTCTATGATCCTGACATGGAGGTAGACGGATTCGAAGCTTACATCGATGATGCCATCAACTGCAAAAGGGAGTATGACTACAAACTGGGAAGCTTGATGGATTACTACGGCATCAAAACTGAAGCAGACATACTAACGGGGAACATCACCAGTGTGTCGAAATTATTCGGTAAGAGAAAGG